GCTCTCTGCTGTGCGTGCTTCAGCGTGAACATGTACGCAAGCGCGTCTTTTGATTTCAACCAATCAGCGCCGACGCAACACACCCGACGTCACACACCACAACAGCTAAGCTAAGCTAACCGAGACGACACTCGAAGTCAGACGGACATGTTTTTCTGCCAATCTGTGTGTTTCCCTTTTTGTCCAAATATATTTTTTATGACAACTGTCTAGTCCACGGTGTCTTTTATTCGTTCCACTGGGGTTTAGCAAGTGTGTTTATAAAGAGACGAAAATATCTTTACTGTTATTAGTGTTAGTGTCTCAACCTGGCTACACTCGTGAAAGCAAAACAACGAACTCAAACGCATCTTCATTCAATGTTGTCAACTAATATTCGGATTAATTTTCGGCAAATTTTCCTCAATTCTCCGGAGAGATTTTCATAAAAATTTGAAAAACCGGGAATTCCGGGAAAATCCGGAGGATTTTCATCTCTGTGTTTACTAGTGATGTGTCGTTCGCGAACGAGCCGGCTCTTGGAGCCGGCTCTTTGAAGTGAACGACATGAGCCGGCTCCTAAGAGGGAGCCGCTTTCATGGGAGCCGACTTTTTTTTTTCCTCCTGTTTTTTTCCCCCTTTCGGTTAAAGCCGCACGTGATTGGTCAAGATCCGTGGTAGAAGAGGGAGGGGAGGGTTACACACTCGCACCTGCCACACCCCACTTACGAATCAATCAAGATCTTTCAGGAAAACAGACTCATGCGTTTTTAAAGCAATAATATGATTTCAATCTTAATTCACGTGGCTGAAAAACACGTAAAAAAAAAGCCAAATTTTAATTTGTAATTTGTTGTGTGGTAATCAAAGCTTACTTATGTTGTTTTACTGTAAATAGTTAAACGCTTATAAATATACACAATCAGAGATTGGAACTTTTTGTTGACCTTGTTTTGAGATGGGTCTTTGTTTTTGGACTTTGTAATTTATTTTTTTGTAGCACTCCATGTTGTACGCCATGTTGAGTATGTTCAGAAGAATATAAAGCCATATAAATAATAAATATTTGATATACTGTATATTTTTTACATTCGTAATTCATTTTACACTTAATTTTACATTATTTTTGGGAGTAAACTAATTTAAGCAACAAAAAAACTGAGGAGCCATTTGGGAGCCGAAAGAGCCGGCTCTTTTTAGGGAGCCGAGCCAAAAGAACCGGCTCCCTAAAAGGAGCCGGAATTCCCATCACTAGTGTTTACGTTTCGCTCAGTGCATTTGGGGACGCGTGACGTCAACGTCTGGAGCTTTATAGGGCGACGTCATGAAAGGGGTGTACCAGCCACATTGGAATACGTGTTGTTTTAGTAAACCAGGAGTCTTACTTCCGGGTTAGAAAAGGAGCCACTAAAATAATTCAGATTTCATAAGAAATTAGATTGCCGTTGTGCCGATGTGATATACAGTATAATCATATATATGCTTATAGTTGAAATTGTTGGAAGCTTAACCCTTTCAGGGACAGCGGTTACTACAGTGGACAGCTTATCATGTTATCAGGTTACAGGGTGTATGAAAGGTCTGACATAGCACGATATGGCCCCTTTAAGATAATGGCCCAGCATGGGGTTCAGTGAAAGTCGTGCACACGCTCAGGGTCATCATGAAGAGCCGGAACACAATCTACAGCAGACAAAGAGAAAATAAGAGGTGCATATTTATGTCATGGCCCAGCATACACGTTAACAAACGTGTGATCCATTGAGGGTTGCATCAAGACTACTTTTATGAAAGACTTCAAACAGAAACACATCAATAACCTAAAATCAGGTAATGAGCAGAACATAAAATAATCATACAAAGGTTCGGATTACCAAAGATAAATTTCATTACACTTCAGAATATAAGTGTCCCTGTATACATATACACCACCCTTGAGGACATGGTGCAAATGTGTTTTTTTCCTCACTTTATGTCTGACATAACATGATGTAAAGACGAGCCCCGCCCCCCCACCCCAAAAAGGAAACAAAATTGTTGACCGTGATGTAATGAAGAGCTGGGTGTACAACTCCCTCCTGCAGCTGGTGTCGAGCTCTCTTTCGCTAACACACCAGAGAAACACTGGAGACAATGCATTTCACTAAGAAAAAGAGAAATTAAGGTGATTGATATGAGGGGCGGGGGAGGGGTAAGAAAACTGCTGCAGTTCATCAATTCATTGGTGTGCAACGAAGCGGCCTTATGAGACAAAAACAATAGGGCGTTTCAGCCATGTTAAAATGAGTCGGACGGATATGAGCATGTTTGAAAGATGATGTACAATACTGGACAGACAATAACAAGAATGAAGATGTTGAACAAGGAGTTAAGTGCCAGGAGAGCACTGGTTTTGGTATCGGCTGTGGTCCATGGGTCAGTTGGAATTCAGGAGTGGCAGGGACTAAATTAAGTTTTTTTTGTTTTGTTTTGTTTTTACAGGGAAGTCTTTGTCATGCAGAGATGGGCAAGTTAAAGGGGTCTTTGCAAAGTCTTCATCTTAACTGCCATAATGCATGGTGTTACTGGGGATGACCATGGGAGAGGCCATAGAGATTGCAGCACCGCCCAGGGTAAACTGGTTGGTGACCGGATAGTAAGTACCACTGCTACTGGGACCTGACTGGCCTGTTGTGGCTCCTGAAAAACAGAATGGGGCATTACATTCAGTACTCCCTCTGACCTTCGGCATGATAAATATATGTTGCTTACCAATGTGGGTTTCTGTACTGTGTTGATTATTAACTGGACATACCCTGGACAATTCCTGTGCTCATGATGGAGCCCATCCTGGAGTGGGTGTGGTTCACAATACCTGTGTTCACTGTGAACAAAACAAAAAAAAATAAAAGCAGTCATTTGCTGTCCGATGAAAACGTTAATTATACAAAGCACCACAGGGTTTGTATCTTTTTTTAAACAATCATTTACTGTGACTTTTTCAAAATCTTTTCACTTCATTTCTAAATCCAAAACATGAAAAACATTCGGCTGTGCCTCTAAATCGAACTACAGACTTCTTCATACAGTTTGTCATGTTTTAATACAACAGTGACACGAAATTTTAAATAACATGAGATGAACGATCTGACCTCTCCATCCCAGAGAAAAATAAAAATAAAAAGGTGCTTTAAAGCTATGATTTCCTAAATCAGTATTTATGTTGTATCAACATCATACATTAATAAATTAAAATATACAATGTATATGTTATTTTTCAAGAACTTGGAAAATGCATTTTCGATTCCCATAACTGAGAATTTTCATGACCATACCTTCATACGGTACTTGTCAAAACACATTCAACACCACCCAAAGCCGTGGCCAGATTTTTGTGTGCGCTACTGTACACGTTGCGAACAATCAGAAAGTATTCACAATGCTTCACCTTTCACATTTTACATGACAGCTCTTCATGGAAAGGAGATTGAGGTTGCAAACTGAACCTGGGCATATTAATCCGTTCAGGGACAGTGGTTACGATAATGGACAGCTTAGCATGCTATCAGGTTACAGGGGGCATGAAAGGGTTAAGTGACGAATCTCTCGATTTTAAATCACATGTACTGTGGCTTGTAAATAAAACTGGCACACCTTCATATATGAGGCGATTCTGTAACTGCCCCCACCCCATCTTTGTGATTTTATCAGGCAGAAAAGTACACGATAGGATTCATTGCATTCTCAGAACCTCGTTTTGCGCTCAGTCCCAAACACCCAGACAAAAATCGTCCCTGTTGATCGGTGACTCCACGCGTGCCCATCAAGCAAGATGGTCAGCTTTTCCTTGTAACCTTTCAGATGTTGCTGCGCTACGGCAGTCCTTGCGTGGATGGATAGTTTCATAAAATGAAAGCACCCAGATGGACCTCTTTGAAAATGTTGGATTTTCATTTTTTCTGTGAGCGTTGATGCCCTCCGTCGAATGGCGACTGTAGAGAGTCTTCTCCCGGCTGTTCTTTGATCACGAATCCATCGCTTGAGTTGGTCTTCCAACGCAGGCCACCTCGCCTTGTTTCAATGGAAACTCAGCTTCATCTTCTTGACTTGGCGAACTCATTTTCCTGCTTCCTCCATTTGTGGACCATGGATTCGTTCATCTTATACTCTCTCGCTGTTGCTCGATTGCTACGTTCCTTCGTGTAACTGATTGCTTGCAGTTTGACCTGTGCTTTGTAGATGTGTCATTTTTGGGATGTTGTTTTGCACAATGCACAAAACGTCACTATATACACCTACTGGGGACGTGCCTTTTATGTCCTCTTTCACATTCAACCTTCCACTTGATTTTGATGGGGTTAAGATTCGTGACAACATGAAACTTTGTACACACATCACGCCCGACATTATTTTCTGGACTACAAGTAGCTATTTTTTTCCAAAACTTGTAAACTTCCGGCTTTAAATGCGAAATGGTTTTATTTATGCATTTTTACTGATGAGCATCAAGCCGTCATTATATCCCCTCATTCTTGTTACATCTGACCAATGAAATTACTAAACACGTCACAGTAGACCAATGAAAGTGTCCGAGTCCACCCTCATACTGAATACTCATCAGCTATTTGCGTTTGGAACAACAAGATTTGCAGCAGCGGAAAGAGCCGGGGGGAGGGAGGGAGGGAG